TTTGTATACTATGAAAAGGAATATATCTATATATATAAAAAGATATATATGTACATATCTATACACACTTATAGGCACATACATACATACATATGCATACATATTTATAGATGTATTTACATAGGTATACCCGTATATACATTTCTGTACCGTACCCTTTCCATAATATACAAAGACTTATATTTTAGGATTATTTATGCATATTTATGACATGAGCTGTCAAGATATACATACATACATATGTCATAAATCTCATTGTGTGTTGGTTTGACAAATATTCTCTTAGTCTAAGAACTGTTTTACTAATAGATTAATGGCACCTTTAATGAATCAGATCACTTTCTAATAGCTCACATATAAAGCAAAATCTATTGCAATTAAGAAGATATGCATGGGACTAGGTATATACACATATGCATTTATGTATGTACATATATATACAATAAGTAAATTGGTATATGTCAGTTAAGACTATCGACAATCTAAGGAGGCTGGAGAGTCCAGTCAGACCCAACCAGTAGAACTGATATGGCTCCGTTCATATTCGGACGAGAGAGAGAGTTTAGACCTATTGTTACTAAATTATATAAAATATATTATTTATATTCAGAAGTACCCAACACAGCGTCCCCACGCGCTTAACTTGTATATACATAAATGTACTTCTAATATATAGATCTACATATACATACATATGTGCATGGTATATTCATATTCATGTGCCTATATTTATTCCCTACATCTAATACACATTCTAGCGCAATGCTGCGTAAATATTTATAAAGAGACGCAATATTGCACAGAAAAAAAAAAAAAATTAAAATAACTAAGGGAAGCTATGCCGAAAGGCTTTAAGAACTCGTCATATCAAATAATAATTTTGGTTGATTTTTAATTATTAAATGATTGAAATAAGCTTTGGCATTGTTTTTTCTTGGATTTCTCTTACGCTAAAAATATTTTCTAAATATTTTAAAAATCATTGAGCTCATTTTTGTTAGGTTCCAATTTTGCTGATATATCTATTTGAATAACAAATTTGTAGATATTCAAATTGGGCTTTAGTGCTAGTTGAATTAAGCTGTAAGCTACGATATGTATGTACATGCATAGATCTAAAATAGAGGCTTACAGAGCTCTATATACATACATACACATACAATACTCACACCACATGTATGTATGTTTTATATATGTATGTATGTTTATTTAGCTTTATTCATTGAGCACTAAACTATTTACATAAATACCATTTTAATCTAGACACTAATCAAGAAACGCCCTTTATAAATTAATATACTTCCGTACACACACATATACATATACACACGTACGTACTTGGAATACACGGAAACATACCCTTTCCATGAAATACGTACACAAGTCTACGTCAATTAGCAAAATATCAATAGAACTAAATGAATGAATCAGAATTTCGCAATAGTTTTGCAGAATTGCATGCGCCAGCATGCGCTCTCGCTCACACAGCAGCCAACTATACCTATCTCTCTCGGTCTTCGTGTCATTTTCTATCCCTTTTTCTCTTCCTCTCTCGCTCTCAGCTCAAAGCACAGTTGAAGCTCTTTAGTAAACAAACATGAGCAAAACAATAATAATAATAGTAATGACAATGACAATCATAATGATAATGCTAATGACAATATATACAAAATTATCTATAGATTGAGTATAAACAAGAATCGTTTCAATATAATGTTTAAGATATAATTATTAAATTTTTGTTTTTGTTTATGTTTTCATGTTTTCATGGCGCCCGGCCATGTCACAGTGTGTATACAGAGTGTAACAACAACAATTACAATATATTCATATATGTGTATAATTATTAAAAAACTTAAAAAAAAAAAAAAACAGCTCAATTATATATAAAAGTTTAACTGCAACAAGTGAGCATAAAAAAATTAAATATCTGTAAAATACGAGCAGGAAAAAAAGTTAAAAAAAAATAAAGAACAGAACATGCGTTACAATTTGGCAGAAGTGTCTAATAAAAAATTGAAGGAAGGAATCAATTTAAAGGGTTGCAAGGATTTTCATTATCATGTTCATCTGTCTGTTGAAAGAGGGGGAAAGTTGTCGTCGTTGTTGTTAGGCATCTTCTTCTTCTACTTCTACTTCTGCTTCTACTTCTATTTCTTCTGCTTCATCTGCGTCTGGTTGTCGTCGTCGAAATGTTCGTTTGGCCAGATCCTCCAGCAGCCTCTACTGCGGCGCAATGTAGTTGTGCTCGAAGATGTCCAGCTCGTTCTGTATGTAGTTGGCCTTGTTGCGCAGGAGCTTCAGCTGCTTCTGATTGGACTCCAGCACGTTCAGCTGCGCTTCCAGCGTCTTCAGCTCCTCATTCATATCGGTGGTGGCGGTGTCCACAGTGCGGCACAAACGAGCAAATGTGCTGGACAGCTCCCTAAAAAAACAAATTCAATTCAATATGGATTCAAATTACGATTCAGCTTCAAATTCATTGAAGCCATCGATTGATTCACTTACTGCTGCACCTGGTGGCTGCAGTTGGCCGACGTGAGATCGACAATCATTTTGAGCTTCTTGGTGGCATGCCGCACGTACTGGCTCTTGAAGGCACGCTCCTTGGCCGAGTTGGTCCAGGACAGACGCTCGTACAGATAGATGCAGCCGTAGAGTGCACCGATGCCAACAAGGACGCGCCACCCGATCGTCTTCAGCATCTGCAAGTGTTCAGTGTTTTAAAGATCCGGCAAATAGCATCAGGAATCTCTCCCAGCAGTACTTACAATGCCCGCCACAACAAGACCGCCGACTGTGCCCTGCGATCCAATCGAGGACAGGGCAAAGCGCGATATAACCGACAGCTGTTCGGGCGTAATTCCGCCCACAACCGTGCCGGGGAGCAGGCAAACGGGCGTCGTCTCCACGGGCGTGCTCACGGGCGTAACAACGGAGTGCTGAAGGACAGAATGAAAGCAGATCTTGTAATGTGTGTCCTGCCAAATGGGGTACGGCTGGAGAGGACTCACCCCAATACTGCTCTGGCGATTGAGCAAGGCGGGCGTTTGCTTTTTGCTGCGCTCGCGCACCTTGCCCGTGAATCGCTGTATCATGGCCGTTATGCCCCAGCTGAACTTGAAGTCGAGATCCTCCTGGAAGTCGGCGCACAGATTCTGGCAGTTCAAGGAGTAGAGCATTTCAAAGGGTTGCGTGCGCACCGCCAGCTTGGCGCTGTTCGTGAGCAGCTTCTCGTTCGGCACCAGAGCATGCATGCGCTCGGTCATTTCCGTTTGTGCCGCCTCCACGTTCATCGCCAGCGCCATGGAGAGGCGGGCGCGCAGGTTGCTGCCCAGGCCGCTCTCCACGTGGGCGTTCAGCTCCTTTTTGTAGATGTTGAGGACCAGGCGCTCCGGATGGAACGGCATGTTGAACTCATCGATGAGGACGCCCAATCGCCAGATTTCCTCATTGAGCGCCTTCGACACTTTCTCCTCCACTTCCTCGACCATATTGTGAATTTTCATTTTCATCTCGCGCGTCACCTGCATCATTTGCGTTTCGGTGCCCTGAATGCGCTCGGTGAGCAGATTCTTTTGATCCTGCTTCAGATCGCGAAAGATCGTGATCCGTTCAAAGATGTTGTCCAGCATGGAGCGCATGTCGCCGGAGACGCTCTTACCGCGCGAGCTATGCTGCTGGAACTTTGTCTTGACCGCGCTCTGTGAGATGCACTCCTCGAACTTGCGCTCAAAGTCCTGGAACTCAAAGTAGCGTATCTGAAAGCCCTCAGCGATGGCGCCCATATGCGGCGGATTGCCCTTCGCCTCCTCGATGCGCGCCTGCAGCGTCTCGCGCGCCGACACGAAGAACACGCGCTCCGCAGCCTCCTTCTCGTTGCTGACCTTCAGCTCCTTGGTAAGGAAATCGATGCAGCGCTCCGTGTGCTGCGACTTGACCTGCAGATGGTAAAGCAACAGCAGCCATACAAAAAACAAAAATAAAAAAATAAAAATAAATAAATAAACAATTTATTAGTTGAGATCTTCGAGGAATGTATTACTGAATGCAAACTAAAAATTAGCTGCAGCCACGGACATTATATGTCCACGTCCATGGGCAAGCAGGCAAATCAAAACAACAAAGCTCATGTGTCAGGAAACTGGGTCTGGATAGAACATTACCTTAGCCAGCTCCTGGCGCAGATACAGAGATACACACACATGATGTATTTGGTAGGGTGGTAAACAAAGGTAATGAAAAATATACAACATTTACAAATAGGCTTACAGTCCTCAGGTGGTGCACAACGAATTGGACAAAGGCTAGATCTTACCGATTCTTGAAACTCGGGCTCATTGGCTGACGCATCCCAGCGATTGTTCAATATGAAGATGTTTGGCTTGGACAGCTTTTGGGAAACAGTGTGAAAGAACTGCTTCTCGGCCCGCGTCATTGTCGACTCAGCATTGAGGACCAGCACAAAGACATCTGCATTGATGCAATGATTGTCAATCCAGTCATCCAGATTGGCGGACACGTCAACGCCCGGTGAATCGACAAAGACAACGTCATCGCGCAGCAAGCTGCAGCGTTCGCGTGGCCAAAATATACGGACCAGACTGCTCTCGCTGAGCTTCTCCTGGCACAGGGCATTGGCCAATTGCTTAATGTTCTGCAAAGCGAAAATTGTAATTAAATGATGTATGTGTGCGACTGTGTGTGTGTGTGTGGGAATGGATCCCTCGAGTAATTACCACCACGTTGAGCTTCTCGTCGGAGCCTTCCTTCATAAGATAGGCTTCGCCGCCGTCGCTGCCTTCCACCTGACAGAAACAGTTTGTGGTGTGGCCAATGCCGCTGGGCAGAATCTTCTCGCGCAGCATGGCATTGATCACAGAGCTCTTGCCGTTGGAGGTGCGGCCAAAGAAGGCCACCTTCATGTGATCCCGCTGCAGTACCTCACGTATGGCAGCCACCTTATGCACATAGCTCTCAAACAGTTCGCGCTCCGCCTTGTCCACAATTTCTGCGTCCGCATGCAGAGCTGCAATTGTTTAGAATTTAGTTTGACGTATTCATTATGCAATGCAAAGACAGTGGTCTTTCTTACCAGTGATGAAGGTGGTTGTCTCCAGCACGTACTCCTCGATCTCACCGTAGATATCGTTGATCTTCTTCTTGGCGCGCACGAAGATCTGCAGCGGCGATTTGTCATTCGGTTGATACATGCGGTTGTCGGTTATCCCGGTCATGTTGGCCGACGTGGACGAGGCGGACGTTTGCAGCGATATATTGTGCCGTGAATCGTCGACGGTGTCGTTGCCCGGTGTCGAGTTTTTGTCGTTGGCGGATGGGCCCGTTTGGCCGGTCACCAGTGAAATGGTGCGATTCAAGTAGGCCGCCATTTGTTTGGTTTGCGTTTAAGTTTTTTTTGTTTTTTTGTTTTTTTTTTTTTTAATGAAGAGAGAATTTTGATACAAAACAAAAGGTATGCAGCCTAAGGAGATACCCGTCCCCAGCCCCAACCCAGTCCCAGTTTATACTGTTGCCAAAAAAAAAATTGACTCTAAAATGATAATAAAAGTGCACGTTGATTTGACTACTGTTATTGGTATCGATATATCGGTATCGATATCGTTATCGGCTTTGGTTTTGGCTGCTTTGAAAACTGGATTGGTATTTTTTTTTTTTAATTTTTTATATATTTTTTTTTCATTTTTGT